GCTTATAAAATTGTGGTGTGCATATTGCAACCATTCTGATATGTGAGAATGGATTAACGTCTCAGAATTCCTTGAACAAGAAATAAAAATTTTGTAAGAATCTTCGACCACGTCTCTCTGCAAATTGTTACAAAGCCACCATCTCCTAATCCTCAAGATATCTACACGGCTGTGTCATTTTAGTTGCGCAGTTGGAAATCAACAAGTCATCTATATGCCACCGACTCATTACAGTTATAATTTAGTAGGCATGGTGAATTTATTTGTCACGGGATCCCCAATGGATTCAACCATCCAAAGCCGTTCAAATAATGGAAATTTATTCTGCAATTTATTTTTAACACACTAAAAAACCTAATGACTCTACTATGTGAATATGAAAAATGATGGTAATAATTTTAATCTTTGTATAGAAAGCGATACAAAATATAAATATCTTGATATTGTATACTGTGGCAACGAATATAATTACTTTTATAATATTCATAATTTTAGAAATTGAATAATTACAATAAAATTATTATGAGTAATGTTAATTAAGAACTGAAATACATATAGAAAAGTAATAAGAAAACATGGTAAATGAATCTCAAAATTAATGGAAAACTGTATGCTATTATAGAATTTATTAAGAGAAAACTTTGAAGGCTCCTACTTTATGGGAAAAAATGCAATTTTTATAGAATTATTTTTTTTTGTTATGTAATAGTTTTTTATGTAATAGAATGTTTCAGTGCAGTTCAAAATTGTCAGATGCCTTTAGACAAGGCCTTTTAGAAGTAACTGTCTAGAACCCTTTCGCCACTGGAGCAGAATGCCACTTTATTCAAATGGATTTGCCCATAAGATGGATATGTTAGTATTTAGAGAAAGCTGTGGGTCTAATCGCCAATTTGTGGTTTTCATGGTCGAATTTCTCCGTTACACTAGACTTATCGTCTTTAACGCCTTTAAATAGTAATTTTGTTTAAGTCAATGTTCCTTAAGGATATACATGTTAAACCCGTATAACAAAAGATTAGGTTAGATTCCGACCCTTATTCCGTTTAACAATATTGCATGCAGCGCCATTTCTCCCCTAGTGATGAATTTTTGAACTTCTCTTCACGGGAAATAAATTCCCATGAACGCCTTTACACGATTACCAAGTTTGATGCCTATATATATATGCCTATGTATGGAGAATATTTTTTTTTTTAAAGAAGACTGAAATCGTCATCTGTCCTTTGTGGAAAATAAGAATATTGTAGAAACAACTGTAACAGCAGAAAATTTATGTTTATTTCAATTTGAGATGAAACAACGATTTGATTCTTCTGGTTCATTAAAAATATTTTTCTTTATATATGTATTATTATTAATTGCAGCTATAAGCACATTTAGTAGGTTTTAGGCTTTTCATACTCTTTATGTTTCAAAATGTTTTGGGTTACCTCAATGATGCTTATATCCCTAAGTATAATGATATTGCAGATAAAAGAGTAACAGTTTTCAAAGCGTTTGAAAGAATTAGAGTTAATGGGCTGTAGGCTATGACTTTAAGCGCACTAAAACGCAGATGAATTCCGCTTAAAGGAAATCTGAATTTATACAAATAATGGAGAAAATAACATTATTATCTCAAATTTGTTTATTACGGTCTTTAGAGATAAATAAAAATGACGACAGTTTCTCTTATTTCTACATCTGAAATTGAATATCTGTTCATTTTCAGATGTATCCTTGATTTTACAGAATGCTACGGGAAAGAAAAAGATCTGTGACTTTAGTCAGCGAGGAATAACCGTGCATTATTGTGCGATAAGTAGAAATGATTTGTTTCCAGTCGAATAGCAGATGTGCTTAATAAGTATACTCCATATTCATGAAACACAAATATTCGTGAAGTCAGATGTACAGAAAAGATAAAAGGTTCCTGGGCAACAATCACAGATGAGCTACATAATGCTTGCATAAATTCCTTCAATTTCGGTACAGAATTTGAATTGAATCCAAATTCTTCTGGATATCTTCTACCCCGTTTCTGGCTGTTCTGGCAAAAGCTGATTTCCAGGAATAGCACAATTCTGCAGCTGTGAAATCAATATATCCCAAAAGGAATTATGACATGTTATTAAGTCGGCTCTGCGAGGAAGCCATACCATGTCAGAACCTCGTCCAATCCAACATCCACAGAAGTTGCATATTCAAACCCTGATTGCTTAATGAGCTGAAGATCCCTCCTGTTGTAGTATTGCTGAATTAGCCAGTCTTCTTAAATTCAACTTCGGAATGAACTGGTTTTGAAACACGAACAGATACGTATTATAGTCGACATTCGTTTTAAAGAAATATGAACCACTGAGATCACTGACCGAAGGGGCTGCCCACATCTTAATGTGTAGTGGGTACTGTTAAATTTCTTCTTAATAATGTGGTAACACAGATTTTTTTTCTAAAAGATCACAGATATACTGCAATATGTTAATACAGGCCTTCACGTTTCCATCACACTGAAATATAGATAGAGGGTATGTTATATCTGATTTGTTATTCGCGTACTTTGTGCCTATCTTACAAGATTACGTTTCATTGGCAGGTTAGGTTAGGTTATTTAATTACGGCAAAGCTTCGAGGGCTATCTGCCTAAGGGGAAGGATGCCTTCGTGGAGGACTTTCTAAGGGAAATTGGCTCGTATACACGTTACACATGGGGAAAACCACGAAACACCCATGCAGCCAGCACGTTCGCGGGATTCGAACCTCAGACCGAACTACCAATGTTCAGCGACTTACCGCTCGGTCGCTGGTGGGCTTCATTGGCAGGTTCCTATATTGTCTAATAGTTGTTCGATAACATTATGGAAACACGAGTGCCGCTTATCGAAAGTTTTCGTGAAATACAAGTTTCTGCATATATGACTCCATACACTTCCTGTAAAATTTGATCGTCTTGTTACCTTTTTACGATAAAAAAGTAGGTGATATTATTGTTCACTTACTTATAAGCTTAGTTTTTAAGTTGAAAAAGCTTTTTTTAGCACACCGTCAAACAATCGTGTCATTCGACTGAAGATAAACCAGTACTACACACCGCTTTGTTGCACATGGTTATTCCATTCTGTATAATATCATTAATATCACCTGTTTTCCTCCGTAGAATCCATTAAGGTCAAGGCTACATATGAAAATGAATGGCTGTTCTTCGTGGAAAGGAAATGCATAGCTCGGTCTTCACTTTTACGTGTACAATGAGCTTATTTTACAATGAAAACAAGTAATCTCAATATAATGCATACTACGCGCAAAATTATTGAATTGTAAAACAAGTGTAAAGCAAATCTCTGTTTAGGAGCTTACTTTCAATTGTTTGCTTTCAAAGAGTTGTTTGCTAAGCTATGAAATCGGACAATAAGTATCCAATAAATTAATAAATCATTGAGCTGTATACAACACGTGAATGTTTGCTATTGTATGAGGAATCTAGTCTGAGACTAGCTACTCATATTAATGGCATTCCAGCAGTAGATTTATCTTTATCTCAAATCTAATGGCTGATTATGGGCTGTTGCGATGTTTTATCTTTTCATTTTATTTTTTAGTATTCTCATAAAATTGTTAAGCACTATGCTTTTAAACTAGCTTCATCAATTTTCCTTACGTTGTTTTCCGAAATGGTATTTTGGTGTTAAAAAACAAAAAGTTTAACACTCTTTATTTTAGGCTGCTTTTTTATCTGCATGCGTGTGTATAATATTACCGATTTATACATATGCACTAAATGAGTTTTCTGTTTTTATATGAATTACACGTTTCCTTTATGTAATTTATATAAAATAGAAAACTCAGAATAGAAATTTGGAAGATTGTTTTGCACAAAATATATTTAAAATAGCATTATTGTCGAAAATCATGTGTACAAAGAAGAGGCATTTCATTGTCAAATTAATACAAAATGAGTATTGTGCTGCAGTTAACGTCCAAAACGTAAAGCAAAAATAAACTTAAATCACCGATATAATATAGTATATAAATACAAAATCGTAATAGAAGAACGTAAAATGCGTTACATTACTGCACACTTTTACTTCACATTATACCAGGCTGAAGGTGAAGTAATTCTAAAACTCGCCAAATAAGGATACAAAGCGAAGTGAGTATTATAATGATGGAACTGAGGCTAGATATTTCACCTTCTGAAATGAGAATGCCTAAGATTTAACTGTATTCAGATTCTTCGTAAATCTAAATGGAATCATGTGAATTACAAATTCGATGTTAATATTTATTTATTTAAGTATAATTTCTACTCTTAATTACCGAAAATAATTACCATTTGTCATATTGAGAAAGTATCTGCTAAAGTGGTTGCGTTACATATAGTACGCATAAATGAATTTCTGTTGTAATCAGTATACAAACAAAAATGAAATCTTCCAGCTATTCAGGCATTTCGAAACCGTGCTATAGATTCAAAATGATCTTAGTACTTTTACTTAAATTTTAAGTGCAAAGCAATAATCGAGATTGAAGTCTTTTTAGTTATTATCATTTAATTCAATGGACAACGGCGATTTAATAACAAAAGTAGTTTCATTTCTATCCCTTGCGCAATAACATTTTATTTTTCCATAACTTCACTTACAAATAAAATGCACAGCCCGAAGACGATCGTAATAGGTTTTATTTCTTTATATACGGAACTTACAATTTTCATTTACAAAAATTTCTTAAAAATAAAATGCGGAAATTTATGAAAATAGTATCTTTGATGTGGATGGGGAAGAACATGTATTGAATCTTTCCTGTTTGTTAATTGATGAAGTAATTAACTGAATAATGTGTTTGCGCAAATTGCTTGACTTGGACACTTAAATGCTACTTGATTTTTAATGTACTTCCCATACATTGCAAGCCCTAAATTATCAAGCGTGTGAGTGTTATTATCTTAATTTAAATTTGCTATTTTCTTGATTTACAGCATATATTTATTTATCTACTTATTTTCCTTTATTTTTTAGAATAGTAGCGATGAAGGTGGAGAGAGTATGGTATACAAGAAAGTGGCTGTGGTGGAGAATTTCTATGACATTATCTATGACGTGCATGTTGAAATGGATGGGCGAGGCGGAAAGCATGCTGGTCAGAAGAGAACATACAAAGCAGTGAGTATTATAATTATGGAATTGAGGCGAGACATTTTACTCGCTTAGATGCAATAGTATAAGTGAAAAATGACTGAATAAGATTTAACTGTGTCCACTTTTTTTTAATCTAATTAAGCCACATTAATAGATTAATACTTATTTATTTTATTTCGAGATTCGCACAGATATATAGTTATTATGTAATTCTAAGTAAATTACAATCAAATCTTGCTATATCGAGAGTCAAGGGATCAAAAATTTGGTTCGCTATACCTGACCCGATAAGAAAAATGGTATCTCACAAAAGAGTGTAAAAACTGACTGATGAATTACTTAAAAAAGCAAAACTTATTAACATTGTCGCAACCTTAAGAAGTAAATAATAACTCTAAATTTTTAAAATTATATTAAGCATTCATTATAATTATTAACTCACATGTTTATTATTATTTTGTTATTTCCTTCTAAAATACACATTTATAATTTTGAGTAATTTGTTATTAAACACGATCTTGCGATTGAAGACCAGCGTTGAGACAGCACTGATAGATAAGCTTCATGGCTGCCAACGAACTATATTTCTGTTTCGATTTCGCCAGTTTAACTAAATGCTGATTTACACAAGCATGCAGTTGAAAACAGAAGTAAAAATTTGTTTTGAAGTAAAATTTTGTTCTTGAACAGCCTTTCTAAATGGAACTAAACGTATATTTAAATTCAAAAATTTCCTGATGTAGCTTCTAGGGCTTCGGGAGCACCAATTAAGAAACGCTGGGCTAAGGAATAGAACAAAATAATATCAGGAAGCTATAAGAGAAGAAGGAAAGTTGTATTGTTAAACGGAATGAGTCGTGTTTCAGTGGTTTGGGAAAGACTTCGAGATAAAATGAAGAACTTCTACTTTCTTGAAATATCCGATTCCCTTTCGAATCTGTGCCGAAACCTGTAAGCCGACTCTTCGGTCGAAGGGATTTTGTTAAAACGTGTTCATTTAATTAAAATCAAGTCCAAAATACATTATCACAATTTACTTTCATTAGAAGCTTTTGTAAAATATTAGGATTTGGGACAACTGCCCTACCTTTCTTTTCTCCAACGTATCTGTCGCAAATTTTTCGTGTCTCAAAATTCGTTTTATTAGACGGCAATTACAATTTCTATAAGATACATTTTCAGTTTCAGGGTTCGAGATTTCCTGATGCAAAATTTTCTGAATATTCTTACTTTCTTTTAGGTTCTTTCTTCATTATTAATATTTTTCTAGTCTTCTCTTTCTTTGCTTGAACCTATAATGTTCCTTTAGATGAAGTAACGATTTTTTCTTTGCTTTCATAGATGTTATGATTATATTTTCGTAAGAGTCCCTTAAAAGTTTTCAGATGCTTGGATTATACCTCTGATAATTTCCAATAGGAGTAATGTTTGTTTTCTAAGTATTTTCTCCCTAAATATAGTAAAAATCTGCTTAACGTCTCATAATAAGAGGTAAAAATGCTACAAGTCAGTTAATGTGTTCATGAATGCCTCCATGATTTTGCATATGGAACTTTCTTTATTTAATTTACTAAAGCATAGTAAATATTATATGAGTTGGAACTTTAGGTATGTGGGAACCATACTAAAAGTTAAAAAGCCATCTTTCACATTTACTTTTCAAATATACAGAATCATGCGAGTAATTTGATAAAATCCTTTACTTTACTTTTAGATTTTTTATCAATTAACCTTATGTGCCTAGGATCAATATTTAAGTATGTAAGGATCTAAAGGCCCATTTACACTAGCGGAACTTTGAGCCTAAGAAACGCAGGCGAATTTGAAGACTCGTTTGAGAGCTTTTTAACAGCATTTTTTTCTTATTGTGAGGGAATATTTAACGCTTAAACTCTTGAATAATGTTATAAGTTAGGCTGTTTATTGAAATGTGTAAATATTCAGTTTCAGTTTTAAAAAAAAAGAGTAACATTTTCGCCATTTGTGAAGCTAGCAACTTCCGCGTGCATTTCTTAGGCTCAAAGTTCCGCTAGTGTAAATGGGCCTTTAAGTTTTACTAACGTTTATTTTATTTTAAATCTTTACTATCACTTCTTATTTTCTACTTCCGGCCAGAATTATAAGCGTTAATGTATTTATGCAAAGTTTGTCTGGCGAACGCCAAGTATTTAAGTTGTGGCTTTTTGCCAAGCGAGAGAGAGGAAGCAGTGAGTCGAAGCAGGCCGCTTACCTTAGAAGTTTTACGCAGTTGCTGGTTGCCTTCCAGGCCAGAGGTTTTAATCCTCTTGATAATTTTTAAACGTATTGTAGTGTTCACAGTTCTCTGTACTACATACGGCTTCCTGTTAATATAAGGCCAATCTTCCACGTTTATTATTTTAAAGTTAAATTAGAGTTCAGTTTTATTTTTATACTTTTTACGTTTTGACCCCAAGTAGCGGGTCTGTGTATTTCCGAAGTACGGAAGTTATTGTAAATAGAGAAAAATAAAGGGTTTTGTATAGCCTTCTTGTGTATCCTGTCTACTTTCCACAGTTTTGAACATAGCTTTAGTAAGCTCTCTGTTCCGAGTCAGGTCCTTGCATGTTCCCGAAGAAGGTAAGACGGAACATTTAACCTGATAAGTAAATGAAGCTTAAAACAGCCTTTTTGATCACATAATAAAATTCATATCGGATAACGAGTAAATAAATTAACCGTAATCAATCAAGAACGCCTGTTGATTGGTGTATATTTTAAACTCGAGAATACGGCGTATACTTTCAACTCAAGATTTGTTGCCTTAATATTTCGCTCAACATTCCTTGTTCTTTTTTTACGTACTCGGACCCTTCGGGACGGCAGACAGAGTCACTAACCTCTATCCGTCTGAAAGGTAGAGGATTCGATGTAAGTTTTATGTTTTCGATGTTATTGTTCGATTTTATTTACGAATAAGTGATCAGAAAATGGTTTAAGCAATATATAAGGAATTTGGATTTATTCTCACTTAAGCTGACTAAATTCCCATTTAGAATAAAATGTGGGGTGGCTTCGGTACTGATGTTATGATAAAGAGTGTACTAGTAAGTAGTCAGGAAGTTCAGAAAATGATTTAAGCAATTTTTAGACAATTTAAGTTTATCTTCATTTAAGTTACCTAAATTTGTACATTTATATTAATTAAACCATTTTTTCTTATGATTAGTTTTCGTCACTTTTCTTATCACCCGAATATTGCAAATGAGTAATCGTATTTAAGGCCAAGTTCTTTAAGGATTTAGAAATAGAGTTTTGGCAACGACACTCAAAGTTTATACATTCTTTTCCCCAAACCATCAATGTTAGTGTTCCAGATTTAACCATTGTGCTAACCGAAGTTAAGTCGCACAATTAGAAGTTTAAGCCAACTCTGCATTATGACAGTCCTATTTGTAGTTTCCGGCTGCAGCCCATTTAATTTGTAAATTCAAGCTCCTGTTCTCTATTACCCCCAAGTGGCAGAGTTTAATTTGCAGACACATGTTGTATTTTTGTTAAGTTCAAGTTTTGAATAAAAAGGTTATTTAAAACCCTCTTGGGACCTTGAAGTACTTCCACAGACGGAACAATTTGTCATGTGTTTTCTTATCAGTTTCTGTTAAAGACAAGTTGGTAAATTGTCGTAATATTAATTTTAAATCAGTAATTATATCAAATTATCGTATAACATGTCACTCCTAACATCATGACATTTTGTAAGTTTCTAACGTTGCAAATAATAATATTAACCTTGTATTTAGCGGCAATTGTTGACATATTTGATAGGTTTCGTCGAATGCTACTTCATGAATTTAAATTTATGACTTTATTGAAGTTAAAGTTATGAGTTACTAGTTTTTTTCACTTATCTATTTATTTATATAAAATCTAAAATTAATCCCCATGTCCTTTAGTTTAGTTAAATCTACTCCTTTCAATCGAATGCATTTAAAATAATTTTTAAATTAGTAGAATCAACAGGCATCAATGATTCTGAACCGGTGGTACGTGTACCACTGGAGGTACACAAGAGAAAAATAGATGGTACGCAGAGAAACAAAGTATTTTCAACTATTAAATTCAAAAATTAAATACCCCGACATCCTGTTTAAGTTTTTTTTTTTTTTTTTTTTTTTTTTTTTTTTTTTTTTTTTTTTTGCTAACACTGGTAAATTTATGCTATCTGAGCTTTGTACAAGGTCTATAACTGCTCATAGACTTCAGCAAAATATTCCGTGTTCATTTTCACAAATATTCTTTTAGCCATAGACTTAACAAAATTTGTCATAAATGATGTTTTTAAAACAGAACTAGAAATAAATATTGTATTTAATAGGAAATGAAAATATATTTCTATGAAAAGATAATAATATCGTATTAATGCAAGAGTTTCTCGAAATATTAGCATGTCTACCGGTGTTGCCCTGATGTCTACACTTTATATCGCCACCATTTGCTGGCTCTTACTACTCTTTTTTCAATGAGAAACATTTTTACGTCGATTTGATGTATCTTACAAGCAGGTATTTTGTCTTCTTGTTGCTTTATATTCCTTACTTTTCTACGCGATTTGAGAATATCGTCGTTTGTTTTTGAAGAACATGTAGCATATTGGGCATTTAAATATTTGTGAAAAATAATAAAACAAACTTAGATTACTTAGATTTTTCAAAAATGGAAAAATGGCTAGTATTGACTAGGCTGAAAAGTGTTGATTCACAGGTGATGGTGCAGGACAATCTGCTAGCACTAAGAATATTTAAAAGAAAAGAAAAATTGTTTACGGAAAATATTATGAAAGTTATATTTATCATTTGGGTTTTCTTGGAATGGAGTTGAAATGGACCCTTAACCTTAACGTGCTGTTTGCAGTGAACTGCTGTCCAAGCAAAGTATGAAACCGTCGTTTCTCAAGATATCTTGAATTTACCCATGCCAATTTAAAGGATAAATCTGAAGAATACTTTAAGGGAATTATCGGAGTTCAAAATAGTAAACAAGTAATTAAAGGTTTTGTTACGTCA